TTTTATTATTTTAATATTTTTCTTTTTATTTATAATCTAATTTACAAATTAAGATTTATTTAGTTAAATTTGTTAATTAAGTTAATAATATTTACAATGTTTTTATAGTTTATTAAGTTTTACTTTATTTTTAATTAGTAGATCAATAATTTTATATAAATAATTAGAAATTTTATATAATCTTTTATTTACTTTTTTACAATAGTTAATTATTTTTATTTATTTTAATAATTTAGAAATGAATTAATATTTTAATCTATTTTATTAAAATTTGAAACTTTTTAGAAATTATTTTGATAGTTTTAATAGGTTTTAATATATTTTTAATAATTTTAATAGATTTTGATAAGTTTTAAAAGTTTTAGCAATTTCAATAATAATTTTATAAAATTTTATAAGTTTTAATAGATTTATATATTACATGATAAAATATAAAAATAAAGTTTTAAATTTGTAATTAAAAATTTGTTAAAAATTAGAAGAATTACCTTATAAAGACAATAACAATAGAGATTAAAATCAGATTATTTTATATCCAGATTTATTTAAATTTTAAAAATTAGAAATCTAAATATTAAATCTGATTTTAACCTTTATTAATCTAATAACTTATATTTTTTTTTATATTATACATAAAAAAACTTTATAAATTAAAAATAGATATATTTAGTATAAATAATAATATTATAATCTAAATGCTGCTGTATTGTTTTAATTTCTTTTTTATAAAATTTTATAAAAAGATACACTTTTATATTTTTCAATTAAGAATTTATATATTAATGTAATTAAATATTAATATTAGTTATAATTAAAGATGACACTACAACTAGTCATAACTATGTAATACTTATTTGTCATTGATTACAACTAGTTGCAACTCAATTTTTATTAATATTGCAATTAGTTACAATTCCGTAATACTTATTTATCACTAATTACAACTAGTTATTATGCTATCTATAGTCATAATAGATGATCATTTAATATTGCATAAAAGGTTATTTATAACTTATTTTAAAATAATAATTTCTGTAAAAGAAAATAATTTGTTTTTTTTTTCATCAACTAGTTTAAACTTTAATTTAAAATCAAATTTTTAATTAACTTAACTATAATTTTTATTTTTTTTTAAAAAAAAAGAGATTAATTTAATTTTACTTTGTTTAATTTTAAAATAGCAAATCAAGATCATCAAAATTACTAGAATTCTAATAAATTTAAATGAAGAAAATACTAATTAAAAAATAAATAATATAATTGAAATTAAAGAATAAATTAATTCAATTTTAATATATTATCTAAACAAAAATAGCAAACTTCATATTTTAACTTAATTCTCAAAACTATACATAATAATTTGGGCTGAAAATTTAATATATCATAGTTTATGTTCTATATAAATAATGATATAATTATTACTTTATTTATTAATCAACAAAATAGGATTTTATATTACTTTATCTTATGTCTAATTTAACTGAAGCTGAACACAACTAAATTATTAGCCTTTTTAAAAGTAATGCTATAAAAACATATATTACTAAAATACTAATATGGTAAGAGAAGATTCATACACTGAGTTCTTTCAGTTAGTAATTTAGCTTTAGTTTTAATATCTTTCCCATATATCACAGGACTACTAATATTTTAACTCAGTTTCTTAAGCTTTTTGCTCTTCTAAGTTATTAAAGTAAAGATTTTACTTGTTATAATATAGTATCATTATGTTAATAGAAAAGTGATAAAATAGTTAGACAGAGTGGTTCGATTTGTTATAAGTCTGCTAAAATTTAATTATATAGTTCATTTTAATTTTGGGAAAAAGGTGAAGTTCAGTTGATATCTACTTTATTTATATAGATTTTTAGTAAACTTCTATTTATAGGGATTTTTAAGACTTTTCCATTTAATTCCCTAATCTTATAAGCTCTATTTCTGATTATGTTGTATATATAATATGGTCCTTTTCATTTTGGGTCTAATTTTCCAGACCACTGCTTATCTAGGATAGCTTTATAATATAGAACTTGATTGTTTATTTGGTATGATACAATTTTCTTTAATTTTTTATCATGTTGATCTTTTTGTTTTTGTTGTTCTTTTTGTAAATTTTGTTGAATAGTATTTTGAATAATTGGCAGCTAATCTAATTATGTTTTCACATGGTTAAGCAAAAGGGATTCCTCCTCTATTTTCATACTATCTATTAGTAGTTTAGCTTCTTGTCTATACATAAGAAAGAAAGGTAAAATTTTTGTAATAGAATGTTTATTTATGCGATAGGTAAAAAGTGCAGGGGTAATAAAATGGTCTCAATTTCTATGATAATTAGTAGCAATTCATGCAAGGGTTTCTATTAAAGTTTTATTAAACATTTCAAATAATCTATTAGTCTGTTAGATGATATAGCGTCAATATCCTATGAGGTATTTCAAATTTTGTAATAATTCATGTAATAGTTGATTGTTAAAATGAGTACCATAATCAATAAGTATTTTTCCAGAACATCTATATTAACAAATAATATATTTATATATGAATTGTACAATTATTTTAGCAGTAGCTTCTCTTACAGGTTTAACTTCTGACCACTTGGTTAAATAGTCTATAGCAATGATTATATATTTGTTTTCTTTATTTAAAACTGGTAAAGGTCTAATGTAATCTATTCTAATATGATAAAAAAGTTATCCTATAAGTATAGGATGTAGAGATTCTATTCTAAAAGCTCTTCCTTTTTTCTGATAAGAGTCACATGATTGCATATAGTTTTTAATATCTTTAAATAATTGGAGCCAATAAAATCATTTTCTAATTTTTTTCATCATTTTTTCTTTTGAACTATAAGTAACAGTTGAATCATTATAAAATATAAAAAGGGTAGGTTTTAATTCTACTTTCTTAAGTACTCTAATGGGATTACTTTGCAGAAACCTGTGATTTGTTAACATATAGTTAAGTGATCTTCATCAAATCACAATAATTTAGTGTCCAATATGTAATAACGCAGTATTAAACAAGTTTATAACATGATTGTAAATTTATCGAAAAAAATATATTTTCGAAGTTATAGTATGCTATTAGATATATGATGAACATCATTAAAAATTATTAGAAAAAGTTAACCTCAATATTTTTTTTCAATGTATTAGAAAATATTTGACAATGAATCTACTGATTTCTCAAGTAATTGATTGTAATAAATTACATCTTTTTTTTTTAATAAAAAATCTCTCATTGTGATTATTTACTGTAATTTCATTATTGTTGTAATATAAAATTATAAATAAAAAATGGTAATAAAAATTGCTATTATATATATAATTATCGTGTCAAATACTAGAAACTATTATATATTCGTTTATTATATATTATACTATTATAATTAAATAATACCGCTATATTTGTTTATAATAATAAAATGATATGAATATATCAATAACACTATAAATAAAATTTATTAATAATAAAATTAATAAATAATAGAATACCTGATTCACAATTTCAAATTGCTGATGATATTTCTGCCATTTTGGAATGGAACTGTTATGTTTTTTGTTATATTATCTAAAGTTTTTATCCCTTTAGTATCTCTTGTAATATAATTAATCATTATAACATTTATAATCAATTTATGTAAATAGTGCATCATGTTTTGAGCCTGTAATTTAGTCATATTTATTGCATTTAGCCACCTTTGCAAGATGTTTATCATCATATGTTTATCTACTAATAAAACTATTTCTTTTTGCGAAAGACGAATTGTATATGAAATTCCATCTCTATAATTAAAATAAATTATACAAAAAAAAATTGTTAGAATAATAAATTAAAGAAATTAAAATGAAAGAAATGCTTACTTGGCCCTTTTTTCTTTGATTTTATTAACATTTTCTTCAATACTATCCAGAAATTTATTGTAAAAATCCCCAAAATTTCTATTAGCTACTCGCAACTAATCAATACCTTTAGCTGAGTTTAGATCATACACAAAAATTTATTGTACTAGATCTTTAAAAGCATTCTTTTTAGAGTCTTAAGATTATAGAAATAAACATTTCACCTCTTTTAGGAAATCGCGATTTGATTTAATCTGTATTTTATGATTTAATTAACAATTAATGAAATAATTTAAAAAAATCATTTGTTAAACTATACTTTGTCTTCTTGCATATACGGTATTGCAGTTGACAATATGGATGAATTAAAGTTTGCTGAAATAAAGTTGAATCTATTTGCAACTGATACTTGCATCGACAAGTATATATTATAAGCCAATAGTAAAACATTGGGGTTCTTACATAACCATGAGCAAACTTGATAAATGTTATCTATCCCACGAAAAGGTATAGATTCTGTATCATTTGATTGAAAAGTAGTGTTATCTGAATGAAACATATTATCATTGAAAGGGTCAGAAGTTGAACAAATAATGGTATTATCATTTAAAGGTGTATTCAAATGAAATACATTAGATGCATTTCATCAAAAAACATTATCATCATCATTAAGCATTATATGTATATAATTGGAAAGAGTTATATCATTTAGGCGATTATTATAAGAAGAATGAAGTGTATTATTTAAATGTAAATGATAATAAGATTTAGATGCTTCATTTGAGCCATCCAATCTATTTAACGTGTTTTGATGAATATTTATATGAGATCTAATTATTTCATCTAATGTATTTCTATTATTATTTGAGATTGACGTAAAAGGTTTGCGTTTGGTATTTATGATACTTTCATTAATCTAACTTTTATCTTAAGAAGTAAAAATGAGAAAAATGTGAATAAAATTTGAATTATGCCGTTAAAATATTATTTTAAATAATTACCTTCTAAAAGATCATCATCATCGTCACTTAATTCTAGAAGTTTATTAATTGAAGCATTTGCAGCTACTGTTAGTTCTTGAATGTTAACTCCTTCATATGAACCTTCATCGACAACAGTTGGTTTTTGAATTGTGTAATCATTACAGATATTATCCTTTCAATTACGTTTAGCAGTGATCTTTAGAGCTGGTGATACATTTTGTTGATCATTATCTTTAATAACAGGCTGCTTCTTCTTTCGATCTCATTTTTTAGCAATTTCTTTGATTGGTACCACTCTTTGTTCTTGATTTTCTTTTGAAATTAAAGAGATATTATCAATATATATATATATATATACAATTTGTTATAATAACAGTTAAGATATAGTTATTACCAGTAACTTCAATTTCATTAACTTGAACAATATTTTGTTTCATTTTTTGGTTTCGAGTAGCATTTCTGGAAGGTATAATAATGATAATTTTAAAGAGTTGTAAAATTTTAAAATGTAGCGAATAAAGAGAAATAAAAAGTTTGTAAGAAAAAAAATGTT